TTTTTTAAAAACCGTTTCCCTATGCTATTCTTTCTCCAAGATTTCTCTATAGAATTATTTGCTTCTAAATTCTAAGTCTTCAATTCATTATAAATTTTTACTGGCTCAAGTATAAATAGTATTGTAAACAACTGAAAAAACCGAAATCCACAGCCTTTCAAGAGAAAGGGCGGTGTGTTATTGTAATTTTGAGCGTATTAAGTTCCAATCAAAATTTATTTTGCTGAATTTGGATACTAATGGTTTTTCTTTTGTGTCCGTCTGTTTAAGACATTGATTTCGCCATCTTTACAAAGAAGGTTCTTCGAAATGTGGCATATAGTCACACGAGCGTGAAAAAAGAACAGGATGAAACGGACGTGGCGTGAAAAAGTTAATTGAGCCGCATGCGGATTTTAAAAAGAGAAAATTGCTTTCTGTGGTTTACGTGAATTCGGATAATTGTACAATCTTTATTTATTTATTTATTTTGGCTTAAGACAACTCATTATAAGTACTTTGAGCTTCGAAAAATTTAATGTACAACAGCCTTTCTACACCTCTGAAACACGCGAAAAGATAAATGACAAAATGAATGGAATGACAAAAAAAAAAAAAAAAATTATGTTTTCACCCACTGAAAGGAATAAATTTCAAATTTTAAAATTTGTTCGGTTTATTAGCTTAAAAAGACTTTTACACTTTATAAAAGTGATTTGATGGTAAATGTGGCACTGGATGAAAATTTCGGACACTAGAATCTTATATATATTTTCTTTTTCCAATTCCTACTATTAGCTCACACTCTCCCTATATATATATATCTTGTTCAAATTTTCAATCGTTAATAAAATACTTTTTGTTCATCCACTCAAGTTAAAATACATTTTTTCAAACTTGTAGTGGATGACACTTGATGTTAATACAGTTTATGCAAATATTAATTCATTAGTTAAACTTAATTAATGAATAAATAGTAACAAACACAAAAATAATAGTCCAATACTATTTATAAAAAGGAAAATAGCTCGTTGTGTCCCTGTTGCGCGATGGATAGCCTGTTGAACTTCTTATCCAAAGGTCGTGAGTTCGAATTTCACCTGGGATGGCCTCATCTCTGAGAATGTGTTTTCTTTTCACTATACTATTTTATTGGAATAATTAAATTTAATTAAAAAATAAATAGTAACATACAAAAATAATAGTCCAACACCACATATAGAAAGGAAAATGGAAAATCGCTTTCTATTTTGTCATTTAATATTGTGATTCTGTCATATGTACACATATGTGTTCTGTTATATACATACATATTTCTATTAATTGTAGTTATATGTATTAAAAAGTAGATAGATTTAAATTTTCTTTGTTGACTTAAGTGGGAATTGACTTTAAACAAATTCTTTTTATATTACTTGTTTTTCAATTAGCAAATATAAAATAGGTGAGACATATAATTGTAATTTACTATTAAATTTCATACATTAAGAGCACGTGTATCAACCCTTTACAAGTCATGTGTTTAGAGCAGTGTTTCTCAAACTGTGGGGAGTGCCTCCCTAGGGAGGCGTGATAATCCTACAAGGGGGGGGGGGGTACGAGCGGATCGCGGAAAGTCGAAAATAAAAGATTATTTAAAAAATTATCAATTTACTAAAAGGAAACAAAGCACAAAATGTATTCTGACATAATAAAAATACACATTTACTCTGATATAGTATACTTATAAATGTATCATCACGGCACAATATATTTGATACTAAGTATCAATACTAAGTTAAGGACAAGTTTAAGAATTACAAGTGATTTATCAATGGGCTTGTATTATACACAAAATTTAATACATATCTTGATACTTTGTACGATTTAAATTTAGGGTCGCGTATTGTAGTTTTAGCCTCAAAGTATTATACATGATTACTACATTCAACACATTGTTATTGTATGGGGAAGGGCGGCGCGATGAAAATTCTGATTGAAAATTGGGTCGTGAATATAGAAAGTTTGAGAAGCACTGGTTTAGAGGCACGATGTGTTAGAGAGAGAAAACAGACCCGACAAAGTGACTATACTATATTTTGTTAGAGATACCGGTGTTTTTAAAGACATTAATCGATTAAATTTTAATTTTATCATAGATGATTTGGAGAAACCAATTGTAGTGCAATATACCTGCTGTTGCAGGTATATTTCACTACAATGAGCGAGTTTTATTAGCATCCCACTATAAAACAACGCGAGGGCTGTTGGTGACGAGTCGTGTCAACTTCCTAGTCTAGGGGTGGCGAACCAGTGGCACGCGTACCATCAATGGTACGCGACACAATATTTTGGGCACGCCGGCGATCAAAATGGTTTGCATTTTATTTCAAAATAACAAAGTTCACAATAAGATACTACAAACAAAGTGATTGGTCGCGGGAGGTCGGGTGAGAAATATAATATAGGTGAGAAATATAATTGTAATTTACTATTAAATTTCATACATTAATAGCGTGTATCAACCCTTTACAAGACATGTGTTTAGAACAGTGTTTCTCAAACTGTGGAATGCGCCTCCCTAGGGGGGCATGATAACTCTAAAAGGGGGGCGCGAGCGTATCGGAAAGTCGAAAATAACTACGAACAAACGCCCTCGTTGCGGGGAATCGGGCCACGACAGTGCGGAGTGCACTAAGAAGGAACAATGTATAAATTGCAAAGGTGAACATCCGGCTTACTCACGCTCCTGTCCAACTTGGATACGAGAAAAAGAGATAACAGCTGTTAAAGTAAAAGAAAAAATTTCCTACCCAGAGGCACGGTGTATTGTTTTGTCGCCCACGCCAGTCTCTGGTAAAAGTTATGCAAGTGCTGCCTGTAAAAGCTCTTCAAATAAAGCAATCCAATGTAACATGGAAAAAGATAACAGCTCGAATACAGAGACACCCATTAAACCGGAGGTAATTGCTATATCAAAAAGCAATTCACCAACTAAAACGAAGGTGATTGCTAAGCCAACAAGCAAATCACCACCTCCGACGAAAACAAAAGTAATTAAAAGGACAGAGAGCGATTCACACCGAGAAGAACAAAGAGCCGAAGGGCTCGTCAACGGGATCAAAAACCAACGATATCAAGGATCCCGAAGAAAGCATCGAGAGACTTCCACCGAAAAATAGAGGAAGATACGGTGACCGGAGACTGCTCCGAGGAAGACGAAGCTCTCATGGATTACCAAACGGGCCCTTCGACTTCTAGCTCCGGAGGAGGAGCGAGTGCGACGCAATAATGGCCTCCTTCATTTCCTGGAACTGCCGTGGTTTGAGGACTAGACTCGATGATCTGAAATCCATCATATCCATGTACCAGCCAGCATGTGTTGCTCTTCAGGAGACTTTTCTGAAGAGTACCATGACAATGCGAGTGCGTGGTTATAATTGTGTACGACGGGATGTAGATGGCGATACATCTCCAACTGGAGGTGTATGCCTCTTCACATCAAATGTGCATCCCACACGGCCCACGGCTTCAAAATACGAGGTACCTTACCAAAAAAACGGTATTACCCTCTCATCATAATTAATAAGAAAAAAGAGAATAATTAATTGAAAGTTCCATAAAATTTAAAAGATGCTATCAAAATTATTAACAACAGC